AAATATTTGCGTACTGATAATGGTCTTAAGTTTTACAATGTTGAATTAGATAATTTGTGTAATGAATCTGTCATCACTAGTCATAGTGCTTGATAAAGTTAGATATATGATGTTGAGTTCTGGTGTGCTTAAGTCGTTTTGGGTTGAAGTTGTTATAACTGCATGCTATTCGACCAATAAGACTCCATCTGCTGCTTTAAACAATAATACTCTGTATGAGATATAGTACGATAAATGTGTTGATTATTCTATGTTTAGAACTTTTGGCCGTGCTGCTTTCTTTCATCAAAGTAACGGAAAATTAGAACATAAAGCTAAGAAGTATGTCTTCTTAGGTTATCTTGAGGGTGTTAAGGGATATATGTTATGGGATAGGAACTAGAAGGGTGTGAGAATAATCATAATTTGAGATGCCACCTTTAATGAGTTTGAGATGCCTGTAAGGAGAGTAAAGATAACAAGAGAATGCTAGGGAAGAATCATCAGTCGAGGTGGAGCGAGTGAGCATCCACATCCCCATTACCCGAGCGAGGCGGAGAGTAATACACAAAATCAGTAGAACATAGAAATAGAAGAGAATGAGAAAATTGTTGAGGACAATCCTATCAACCAAGACACTCTAGTTAACTGCTATTAGCTAGAGATAGAGAACCAAGTAGGGAACCCAAAGATTGATTATATCATAGCCTACACTAGTTATCAAGAACTAGTCGATAAGGAGCCAAACACTTATGGGGAGGTTATGAGGAGTGAAAAAAGTGAGGAATGGCTAGGTGCCATGAGAGAAGAGATGTGTTTTCTTACCAAGAATCAAACTTGGGATTTAGTTCTTAGACCTAAGGATAAATTCATAGTAGGATGGAAATGAGTTTATAAGATTAAGGAGAGAACCACAGAGCATGAGCATGTGAGATATAAGGTTAGGTTGGTAACCAAGTGTATACACAGAAGGAAGGGTAGATCGTAATGAGATCTTTTTATCCATTGTTAAGTACACCATTATTAGGGTCATGCTTGTTTTTACTGCTTATTATGACTGGAAACTTGAACAACTTGATATTAAAACTGTTTTTTTGTATGGTGACCTTGATAAAAAGATATTTATGAATCAATCATGATTTTGAAAGTAAAGATAAATCTAATCATGTGTATTTTTTTTAAAGAAATCTCTTTATGGGCTAAAACAGTCTTTACATCAGTGGTATAAAAAAAATTTGATTTTTATGTGTTATCTATTGGTTTCAAGAGGAGTGAGTTTGACAATTGCTTGTATTACCTACACCACATCACTAATAAAGAGTATACTTTTTACTTTATTTGGATGACATGTTATTAATTGGACCTAACATGAAAGTGATAAGTAAGATTAAAATGGAGTTAGGAAAAGAATTTGACTTGAAAGACATATGACATGCTATGAGGATCCTTAGTATGGAGATTAACATGGATATGTTTAATTCTTGCTTGTATGTGCATCAAACTCCTTACGTGCTTAAAGTTTTGAAAAAATTGGACATGACTGATTGCAAACCTGCTTCTATGCCTCTTGAAAATTACTTTACTTTGTCAAAAGAACAATCACCTGCTAATGATGAAGAAAAATACTTTATGAGTAATATTATTTATTCTAATGTCATTGGCTCTTTTATGTACCTTATCGTTTACATTAGAACTGATTTGACTTTCACTATGAGTTTGTTAAGTAAGTACATGTCTAATCCTGGTCCCAAATATTGGGAAGTGCTAACGTGGTTGTTTAGGTATTTGAAGAGTACTTTTGATGTAGGTTAGTTTATAAATCTACTAATGAGGGTGTGAAACTTAAAAGTTTCACAGATGTTGACTATAATGGTGATATAGATAATATGAAATATACTTTCTCTTATGTGTTTACTCTATGTGGCTCTTGTGGGAGTTGAAAGTATCAATCCCAACATATTATTGCTTTATCTAGCACTAAATCTGAGTATTTGCCACTGAAATTATTAAAGAAGCTATGTAAATTAGATGGTTACTTAATGAACTAGGTGTTTTAAGTGATATCGTGATTATATAATTTGATAATCAATCAGCTATTCATCTGTATAAAAATCCCATGTGTTTATGAATGCACTAAACATATAAATGTTAGACTGTATTTTATTTGAGATGTAGTATCTCAAGATTTGAATAAACTTGAGAAAGTGTATTTAAACTATGACCCGCAGATATGGGCACCAAGGTGCTCTCTCTAGTAAAGTTTAGAAGCTGTCTTACACTTCTAAACATTAGTAAAGATATATGATATTTCAGTTTTATTTGAAATCACATTGTGCAACTACTAAATTTTTTTTTTTTATTTTGCAGGTATATTTGGCATTAAAGTGGGGATTTTTAAGTATTTGATACCAAATAAACCTAGGATAGTGATACGATAAATCGGGTCAGATTAATTCAATAGGCCTCGAGCCCATTATGAATATTATATAACGATCTACCCAAGGTAACAATTGACTGCCCATGGAACCAATACGAATCGAGATCTCACGTGGTAAATGGTAATTAGGGGCGATTAGGGCTCGACCCATTTTATATTTACTTGGCCCATATGTTTGACCTACCCTGCCACTTATTTAATTGGACTTGGTCCACATTTGAGAGATGAGTACATATAAAGACATGACTTCCCTTCTCTCTGACTGCTTGCGACTCCTCTGTAGTTTTCTCAATGTGATTTCTGGCCACACTTCCTTTGCACCCATTGCCAACGTCTATCGCCGCCTTGTGACCTCCAGTAGCTCCTGTTTTGTTCCTAATTTCTCCCTTGGTTTAGGCTCCTTCATGGCAGCTGCTCGGTTCTTTCGTGCTTCTGTGGTCGTTTTTTGGTGATTCTAGTCAGATTCTTGGGTCCAATTGAGTTTTGGTATTATCTAGTTGTCTTGGGTTGGTTGATCTAAGCCCCATTACTCCATTTGTTTAATTCGATTTCTTTAATTGATCAGTGATGATTAACTTTGTGTTTTGATTATCTCTAGTGAGTTCGTCAGTCATCTCCGTATTGGACTTGAACAAACGAATAATTGATTCGTCTATAAGTTTATTTATTTAGTGCGGAAAGAACTACATGAACTATTATTTGTCAGGTGACGTTTGCAAATCTAATGGCCTTGAACCTAACTAATACTGCTGGAATTGCTCAACATAACATAATGAAATGATCAATAATGACAAGACGCACCTGTGTTTAATTTGAAGTCCCCGGGCTGTAGCGACCATTTCAGCCTTACCCAGACCACGCATGACCCTACAGCCTAATCCGGATACCAGCCCCTTCCACACTGCACCAATTCCGTAATAGGCCGTGGCACAACCCCATACAACAACCTATTTCTCTAACACATATAAACCCAAAGAAGACAAACCCACTTTGCATGATGTCCTTCCCCATGCCCATAAGAATCTCCCTATGTCACTCACCCCCAAAACATCCTTCATTGCACCACCACCCCAAATGTTTGCATAATGTCAAGTGAACAAGGCATGAATGGAAGTCTCCATCCCATCCCACCCCCCCACACCACACCCCAACCAACACCGAAAGCATTGAGTAACATTGCTAATATTTCTAAATGCCAAATTACCGAGTCTAGGAAGAACCCCATGAAAAATCGACAACGAAAGATACAAACTTCGGACGGGGCTTCCAAAGACCACACATTCTCCCCCACCTATCCCATTCCCTCAATTGACTAGAGAGAAATAGAGAGAATTTTGCCAAAAATCAATAGGCAAAAAATCCCTTCCAATACGTTTCACATCCCATAATCCAAACACCTCCACGAACTCGCACACCTTCATTGAATCATTACGCCTATCAATGAAAAACACGGTGGTCGTGGAAGCCATAGGTCGCCAAAAACCCGTATACCCTGTCTTCTCCTACTCTCCAAACCAACCTATCTAGTCGCACTCCCCTGCCTCATAACAAACTTTGGATTCCAAAGGATAGATGACATTTCTGTTAAGTTGTATAGCCTAATTATTGTCATTATATGGAGTTAGTACGTAGATCGACGTTCATGATATGGTCGTCATTGGGGTTGGAAAAAGGGCAGGAAGCTCTCCTTCCGAAGGGTGTGACGGACACTTTGATTAAAATTTCATTAAGAATAATTTAGGAATTTTTGTACTTACAAATTTCGATTTTACTATAATATATCTTATAAATAGGGAGCCATCATTATATTACCATCATAAAAGAAAGATGGAGAGATTATAGAAGATAAAGCCCCTTTGTGAGCCAATTGATTCAAAATTCATTTTTTTCTCGAACTTTTTTTTTAACCAATAAAATAATTTTATATATAAACTCGAAACTTTTTCCTCATTTTTAACCATACATTCTCCAAAACAATGATTATTACAAAATCTATTTTTTCAACAGAATGAAGCTTAACTTATCCACTAAACTTCCAAGACTTAAATGTTGAAAATTTGAACTTTACCATCTAATATAAGTTTCGAGTATATATCAAAAAAATTCTAGAACTCCGAAAAAAATTTAAAAAATGTTGCAAGACCGCTCATCCCTCCCCAACCCACATCCCTCCACCCCTGTACGGTGTATGAGATACATACAAACACATAAAGGAAGCAATGCATCAACATGCTTAACCACTACAAATGAAACATATTGTATTAGCTAAAAATCAATGCCATTTTAAGATGGAGGAAACCTTTTGAATTCATGAACTTTTCGAGGAGTTGTAACAAATAAAAGTTCAAACGAAACAAAATTAGGAATTAGGGCCCAAGCCTACACTAAATCTACCTTGCTGAGACCAGTCACGACATCAAATGACCTTCACCTGCCCTTTGAACTAACCCTAAAGAACTGACCTAAAACTATATCATAATATCATCCAGCTTTTCTTTCAGAAGGAAAAAAATGATACCCTCCTAAAACACGAGAAATATGCTCATTTGGTTTCATGGGGAGGCCGCTGCGTGTATACACCTATTTACCTTTGAAATTGATCAGAACTAGCTGCATGACCCGTGCTTGAACAAGCATTGTCTTCTAGTGGAGGTAAGGTGCCCCACTCACCTTCCGACTCTAGTGGCTCAATTACACACACTCCACCATCAGTAAGTCCTAATGCAAATTGGTTAGGCTTGTGAGGGTGAGCAGCAATAACTAAGGGATAGGATAATTCGCTGCAAAAGTCAGTATCATCAGATAATGAGTACGAGGAAGAAAATGTACTTTGATAATTGCAGTTAGTTTTCTGGTGATTGAATTCATTGTAAGTTGAATAACAACAAATTCAAGAATATTTGAGTAGTACGCACCTTGGATAGGGAGGTGCGTATGCATAGTAATTGATTCGACATCTCAAACACAATGATGAAGCAGTAAAAACGCCTATACTTCCATTTTCAAAGCTGATGTATATGGATTGGCCATCGCAAGAATATGTAGCACATGTGATTCGGCCACTTGCTGGTAGGGGTGCAGTCTATTTAGATTAGGAAAAGAAGAAAGTAATTGCATCAGTATCCAAGAAAGGAATAATATTCAAAGTCAAAAAACTTTAGAACAGAGAAGTACCAATTCGTAGCAATAATTTATGAAAAATAGATTCATTTGTTAGTTCATATGCTATACCTGCATAAGGCATGTCAAATTATGTACTTCATATATTGCTATCTGTCTCTCTTGGAATGCTAGTAAATGCGTTTGATCCCGGTGAAATTGTACATGGGTATCTGCAAGAAAAGCAGCCGAGCAACCAGGTGGGCTTTGCAAGTATTCACTAGTTTGCTTCTCCCACGTATCAATGCTCCAAACACACAACTGGGTAAACAAAAAGGGGTCAGTGGCTGAATCTTACAATGCAATGCTTAGCCAACTTCGTAAACTCAGAGAAAGGAAAGACATGGCTATATGCTGAAGTAAATGGCTAATATATATAAATTTTGAAATAGACAAGGAAAGAGGTTAAAGAAATACCAACTTACTAAAACATACTAGTAATTTCTCTAGAAATTTAGACTTAGATATCATCATGTTAGTTACACTTTGTTGTTCCCAGAAAGGATTCTCCCAGTAGGGTTATTGTGAGCTGGCTCAGAGAAAGGAATTGATACAGACCCTAATAGGTACTTCAGTTTTGCCAATTGTAGAAGCATCTGTGACAAAAGCTGCTTACCTGAGAATCAGCTCCTGCAGATACAAGCACATTATAAATATTAGAGAAGGCAAGACCAGTTATCCTTTTCTGATGAGCGTCGAGCTTGGCTTGGACCTGAGCAAAGGAAATGCAAAATTAGAAAAATAGCTCTACTCATTAGATGCGTTTGGCACACAAATTTAAGCCATAAATTCACCACTAGGTACTACCTTATCAAGACGGACATAATATATTAGGATAGAGGAGTCATCCATGCCAATTGCTATGATGTTATTGTCTTGGGGATGAAATGCCAGAAATGTTGCTGCAGGTGGAGGGGGCATGAATGTTGTCATTTTCTGTGGATAGAACAAAAATCTTATAGAGGGTAAACAAGTTGAGTGTAACTTGTGTCTGCCAAAGAGAATAAATTGATTTAAAATGTCACAACAAGAAAGTTGAGAGGTAAAAAAACTGAGTGCAACTTGTGTCTAAGAAGGAGAATAAATTGTTTGGTCCAGAAATTCCCAAATCAAACTCTTTCAACGTGTTTTAACACATTATGAGAAGAAAAGACTCTTCGTGATTTAACATGTACTGATAAATGCAAGAGTTGAGCAGATCAAACCACTTACTTGGAAGGTTATTGCATTAAATAGAGAAATTCCCCCTCCAGACGTCGATATTACGTAAGCATCATTCTTGGACAGTGCGAAGCATGGAACCGCTTCTTCAGGATTTATGAGACTAATATAATTGGTCAGTGATATCCCACTACAAGGCTGCCATAGTTGTGGCAAAGTATTTGTTCTTGCCTAAAAGAATCAAATTGCATTAAGAAGAAGCTACCAGTGTCAATAGAAATAATGAAATTTGGGAAGCTTTCATGCGTAATAGACCAATACCTCCCCTGTTGGATTACAATCATTTTTTGGCCATTTCCAGAGTTTGTGTACAGCATTGGCATATAGAGACATTATGACATATCCTGAATTGGCATACACCAACCTTGAAACCTAATAAATTGATAGAATAGAACTGAGAGGCCTCACACGAGTCAGAGTAACAAATAGAAACCAGAAATAGGTGTTAACTATGACATAAAAAATCATAAATCATTAACAAAAACTAGATTAAATCGAAAGCAAACTCAATTTAAGGAATATATTATTTTATTAAACAACGTAAAAGTTTCTTCATTATCTTGCGAGTTCTTTTAGCTATATCTCAGGCTACACTAGGGTGTTCTGTTGCTTTGAGACCGCACAAAATTGACGAAACTTGAGTGTGGTGAAGTTTGTAGGAACCTTGATGTTGAAAATGGAATGGAATAAATTATATTTTCCAACTGTCAAATTACTAGAGGTCAGACTCTACTAAAAAACAATTCAAGAAGTTGAATCATTGTTATTCTAATTTCATGTAAAAAGTTCTGATATTTTCCTATCAACATGACTATGCACATAAAGTAGAGCGATGCATGTGTGTTTGTAATGTTTTATATGAGAGAGGTGGGGATGTGGGATTGAGATATAAAGCAGGTTGTATGAAATTGATTGAAGTACAAACTGGTCAAAATTAAATCCGTTTCTCTGCAATAACTAGGCATTTTAAATGGTTGATAGCTGAGTTAACTATTACCCTCGTAGACACTAAACTATCCGGAAGTCTCAACGAACGACACGATGACGGATCATTCACTTCTTTCAGTTTCCAAATAATGGATTTCTCAGAGGACTCGTCTGCAACTTTGCTCTTCCAATCTACCAAACTTTGACTATCTTCATGCTGAAGAAATTGAAGTAGAAAAAGATCACAAAGAAAATATAGAAAATGCAAACTAAAATGTCATAGTAATGCACACCAGAACTAATATTAAATGCAATATTATGAAATGCACCTAAGCTGTGCACGCCTAAATAAAAAAATATGCAAAATGTTATTTAACCATTGTGTCAAAGAAATTAATCAGAGGTTCAGAAATAGAGATATCCTTCTTAAAAGATAAGGAATTAAAGATGGCAATTCCATACTTCATTCGATCTTCCCGAAGGTCTTGTTCTTTTCAAGACTTGTTCAGGATCATCATTTTGGTAGTCCACAACTGGGGTATTCATAGGCGTCCTTAAATGCGTCAATATATCTGTTAGAAAGTAAGTTAGCATTAGCATGGATAAAAAGGTGTAAGTTAAGAGCTAGTTACAAAGAGATGGAGGAGGGGTAGAAAGAATTATTTTCATGTTTTTATCAACAAAACCTGCTGTAACCTGACTAACATGTCAATCAAACACATGTTTCAACTTATTAGCATATGGAAAAAGTCTACAATCTATTAATACCAGAACAATCCTGGATATTGAAACCAATTGAACCAGCAGAAGCTGAAGGGTGAGGAACTGAAGACAGATTAGTCATCCATTTATCAAGGGAAGGAGAACCCGGATCTGGTTGAAATGCCTTCACGAAAAAGGACGAAAGTCAATCTCACATCTCTTGATATTGTAACAACTCCAATTGAATAGGTTTTTTCTTGTCTATTATAGCTTACAGCATGAGCCCTCAAAAGTGGGACTCCCGTAGGGTTAGGAATAGCACCCGAAAGCAGAAGCGGCCTAATTACAGAAGATGGAAGCCCTGCACCATTTGACTGTGAAGCTGGAACAGCGTTCAAAAGTGGATTAATTACAGAAGACAGAGCCCTTGGACCATTTGAATGTGAAGGTGGAACAGCGCACACAAGGTTACCAGTTACCCACAAATGGTCCACAAACAGAGTTAATATGCCAGGCTTATGGTTTGGATTCTTGCAGAGCTGATGCTGCCACTTCAAACTGCAAGCCAACACAGAGGAAACGCCAATGTTGATCTTAACCTGAAGGTAAATGCTGATGTTACATTTAGTGGAGAAACAAACCTCTGACTAAGTAGAGTATTTAATCTTCTGTCCTTGAAGCTGGGAAAGTTCAGCTTATCATGGAACACGGGGTTTTTTTCTATAAGCCTCTTAATTTCAGCAAAAACTACACCCCTGGAAGATTCAGTGTCGCCATATCCAGATAATAGTTCATTCTCTCTGCATGTCATTGCAATCAAATCGACATTCTTGAAAATAAAATATGCATAATCCCATAAATGGAAAAGATAATAGTGACAACCAGGACAAGAACAAGTACTCTCATCAACCTGAAGTTTTTAAGAACCAAAAGCTGTGTTAATTCTTTATAGATGTCTTCATTAGAATCTAAAAGTACTTTGAAGTCCTTCATTAAAATGTCACAAGCTTTATCCCGATCTTTCCTACAATAACGCATTGAAATTCAGATGAATTATGAGAATACAAAAATCAACTCAAAGCTGATAAATGATAGCAAGAAACAAATTCACCTGTCTAGGGCCTCAAGGTACTTTTGTTTTCGGATCTGAAAGATGATTGCCTTAGAATATTTGTTATCATCATACTTTGTGAACCCAAATATGTAATTTTCCACCTCGTCCCAATCCCCATTTCTTACTCTGTCCTCAAAATAATGCATATTGAAGTACACTCCTGATTCTTGTTCCAATCTTAAATCACCACAAATAATTAAACCATTAATCAACTAATTTAATGAAAAACCACAGTGATATATTGTAAAAGCCCTGTGTTTTCCCAGAAAATAATCTCGAGATTTTTTCAGTGTATTAATAATTATGCTAATTAAATGGTAAAGATTATGTATATACACAATTAACTAATTATTAATATTCCAGATTTTCACAACAATTGGAACAATTAAAAAATTTTGAAAAAGGAGAATGAAAGTCAAATTAAATTTTGAAAATTGAATCCCGGACTTTTAAATTTCTCTAAGGCAACTCTTTTTCTTTTTTTTTTTTAAATCTAAAATTATAATCGATCTTTCACATTTCCTCAAAAACCAGAAGAACTAAAAATTCCCAAAAATGAAAATGAAATAAGATTCAACTCTGAAATTCAATTTTTACTTGTGAACAGCCCCGTTAAATTTCTTTTCATCAAGAAATTGAAGTATCAAAAACACCAGCTCTTTGTCGCATAATGACATGCTGGGTACCCCCTCATTCTCCATACCTGCCAAAAACAAATAAAGAAATGAAAATTTAACATTCCACTCAAATTGAAGAACTCAAATTCATCAAATTCAGAAAATTAAAATATAACATAAAGTCAATCCAAAATCCCCAAATTCCAATTCTACATACACATATATAAACATGCATGCATGTAAGCTTCCGATGTATGTCACTTGAACATATCTTTTTGCGTACGCGAGCATACATATATACATGTTTTTGTCTATACATATATACATATTATAGAGAGAGAAGCGATTTGTACCCTGAATCAATGAGAGAGAACAGAGTGGAGGGTTTTTGCGGGGAGAGAGAGAGAGAGGTTTACTAGAGTTTCTTTGTGAGAGGATGTGGGTTTGAGGACGGAAATGATAAGAGCGTATAAGGACTAAATCTGACGATAAGTACTGTCAGTTATAATCTTGATTAGTTGTATTCCTGTATTAAAATCTGATAAGTAGTCGTACTTATACTCCTGATTACTAATGCTTTACTATCTTGAATTTATCTGAAACCAATATATGATGTGATGAGTAAATTGTTCTTTTGATTCAATTACTAGTAAATTGTTCTTTCGATTTTCTGGCCAACCTTTTTCTTTATTTTGAAGATTGATGGAGCGACGACTTGTGAAACTCACCTATTTGCAGGACGTGTTTTGTCCCCAAAAATGAGAATAAAGCGGTTCATGAACTTGCTTCTTTTGCTACTTTAGCACATTATAACTTGAACTATGCTTCACTTAATTGGTCTTCATTTCAATACTAGGATCAAGGAAGAAAATAATAAAAAAAAAATGCATAAAATAATACGTTCCTGTTTTCCTGTGAAAATGAACTCTTAGCTACCACGTTAATAATGCACGCGTAAGAGAGACATGGCACTTATACATGTCTAATTCCTATTTGATTAATATTTTAACAGGGTACCTCCTTTTTTTCATGGTTCATATTTTTCACCATGATCTCAATATTAACCAAACTACATAGGGTGTACACGAAATATATATAGTTGAGCGCTCAAATGATCACATTATAACCTATATACAGAGTCCAATAAAATACTTTGATGTGAATATGAGCATGGCAGTGCACAAGGATGACAGCCACAATTCAAGAAATGGTAAAGAAAACCATATACAAGTTCCATAGGAAGCACAATCAACACGTTGAATCTTCTCCAAATGAAAGAGATTGTAATATTGGAAAAATCAGTAAATTTTAAGGGTAAAAACCAATCACATACATGAAGTTTTTGAGTAAGCGAAAGGAAACAAAAGAAGAAGAAGCTCTTCCTAATCTGCCTTGCTGACTCCTTGGAGGACTTCAAATGAACTTCATCGGTAATCATTCAACTGTAACCACGGACCAGAAACGCCATTGTTCATTGTAAAGATAAACTACCTCAAAACTAACTCTAAGAAACTGACTACAACTATATCAACAGATTTGGAGCCTTTCCTCTAGAAGAAAAAGAATGGTTTAACAGTACACAAGCACAAGAATTTGTTCATTTGATATCATGGAGAGGCCACTGTGTATAAACCTATCACCTTTGAGGTTGATCCTAACTAGCTGCACCACTCCCACCGTTTTCTAGGGGAGGTTAGGGGTACCACTTGCCTTCAGACTCTAGTGGCTCAAGTACATAGACACCACCATCAGTAAGTCCTATTGCAAATTGATTAGGCTTAGAAGGGTGCGCTGCAATAACTAAGGGATAGGCCTGTAAGCTGCAAAAATCGTATTACAAGTTAATTAGTATGGGGAAGAAAATGTACTTATAGATAGCCATGAACAGCTTTCTGATGATTGAATTCGTTGTAACTTGATTAAAAACAAATTCAAGAAATTTCAATAGTACGCACCTTGGATTGGCAGGTAAGTATAAAGAGGGATTGATTCGACATCTCAACCGCAGTGATGCAGCAGTAAGAACACTTATACTTCCGCATATAAAGCTGACATATATGGATTTGCTATCACACGAATATGTAGCATACGTGATAGGGACACTTGCTTGTAGGGGCCACTATTTAGATAAGGAAAAACAGAAAGTAATTGCATCAGAAGTCTAGGCGAAATTCAAGAAAAATATGTCCATATGTACAAGTAGATGATATTGGTTAAAAGGCAATGCAATTATATGCTACACCTTTGCACGCCAATCCAAATTAGCTGCTTCTACTTCATATATTACTATCTGCGTCTCTTGGAAGGCTAGCAAATGTGTTTGATCTTGGTGAAATTGAACATGGGTATCTGCAAGAGAAGCACCAGAGCGACCAGCTGGTCTTCTCAAGTATTCATTTGTTCTCTTCTCCCATGTATCAGTGCTCCAAACACACAGCTAGGTAAACAAAAATGGATCAGTTTACACTAATAGGAACTTCAGTTTACCAATTGTAGAAGCATCTAAGACACGAGCTGCTTACCCAAGAATCGGCTCCTGAAGATACAAGAACATTAAGAATATTAGAGAAGGCAAGGCCAGTTATCCTTTTTTGATGAGCTTTGAGCTCAGTTTTGACCTGTTACAAAGGAAACGCAATGATAAAAAGGCTTGACTCATTAAGACATTTGACTCAAAAATTTAAGCCAGAAGTTCACCACTACTACCTCATCAGCCTTGACATCATATATTTGGATGGATGAGTCATCCAAGCCCATTGCTATGATGTTATTGTTTTGGGGGTGAAATGCCAGAAATGTTACTTCCGATGAATGGGATGTGAATGATTTCTTTGTCTGTGGATAGAACGAGAATGTTATAACAAGCAAGTTAAGAGGGTAAACAAATTGAGTGCAACTCATTTCTACGAAAGAGAATAAATTATTCGGTGCAGAAATTCTCATATCATATAAAACGCTTTCAATATATTTCTAACAATTATGAGAAAAAAAAGACTACATAAGCAAAACAAAAGCCACTTACTTGGAAGGTCAACGTATTAAAATAGGAAATTTTCCGTCCTGACGCTGACATAACATAAGAATCATTATTGGACAGAGCAAAGCATGGAACAGCATCTTCTGGATTCATGCCACTAGTAGCATTTGTCATCAATCTCGCAGTACAGGATCGAATGCGATTGGTGGGGAATTTTCCCATCGAAATACTGTCATTTTCTGGCGATTTCCACAGTTTATGTACAGCATTAACATATAGAGCCAGTATGGCGGATCCTGAATTGGTATACATCAATCTTGGAACCTGATAAATGGTGAGAATGAAATTTAAAAGGGCCTCATTGAGTGAGAGTCAGAAGCAGAAACCGGAAATAAGTGTTTAACAACAAGAACGTTTAAAGCAAAATTAGAGTTCACTATAAGAATTTTCAAGATTGACACAACAGTATATTTTAACAACTTCAAAGTTTCTTCCTTTTTGTTGCGTGTTTTTTAGCTACAATGGTGGCCTGTTGCTTTGACAAAGCACAGAATTGATTGAAACTTGAAAATGATGAATTTTTTAATGTTGGAAATGGAACTGAGCCCCTGTTTGATTCCCATTCTTTTCAAACATTTTTTTCTACTGGATCATTTTCAACCACACATTCACACAATAAAATATTATGCATGTAAACCCAAAACCTTTTCCTACTTTTTAACCACACATTCTTTTAAAACACTATTCAAAGAAGGGGAACCAAACATGGGCTGAATAAATTTTATTGCCAAACAATCAATTTAAGAAGTTGAATCATTGTTATTCTAATTTCACTTCTGATTTCTCTCTATCCACATGACCATGCACATAAAGTATGAGCTATGCATTATGTCACAGTATATGAGACAGAGGTGGCTATGGACAATATCTAGGTAATAATCTATCCAGGCATTTTAAATGATCGAGGGCAGAGTAACTAATACTTTCATCGCCGCCGAACTATCTGGAAGTCTCAGGACACGACATTCTGATGGCTTATTCACTTCTATCAGTTTCCGCAACCTAGATTTCCAGGTGGAACCATCTGCAACTCTGGGCTTCCCATCTTCCGAATTTTGCCGACCTTCATTCTACAAGAAATTGATCACAAATGTGAAGATTATATAATGTCAACCAAAAAGTCGTAGTAGTGCAGGCAAGAGCTATTATCATATGAAATATTATGCAATGCACCTAAGTTGTGCACACCTAAAAAAAATGCAAAATGCTATTCAATCAATTTGCAAAAGAAATTAATCAGAGATTTTGAAACAGATATATCCATTTCATAAGTTTGAAAGCATTAGCATACCACTGAATCTGTGGATGTTACTGGAGAAGCTCGATCCTTAATGCTAGATCCAGTAGTAGCATTGACATCACCAAATGTACTTATTGGGGTAGACTGAAGATGCATAAAACGTTTCAGCAAAGATGAGCACAAACTATAAATCAACATGAGAGACCAAGGTGTACAATATGTCAAAGCTTTAAACTATAAGAACCAAGAAAGTATCCATTTCATAGAAAGAGGGTAATAATCATAATAGAAGAATTTAGGATGGTAAATCCTTACTTCATACGAGGAATCCAGTTCAGAGAGATCATTTTGGTTGTCCACAGCTGGTTTATTTGTAGGAGTTGTAGGATGCTTCATAATATCTGCTAGAAATTAAGTTAGCATGGTGAAAAGGTGCAAGTCATGAGTTAAGAGCCAGTCACAAATAGACAGGAGGAAGGTGGAGAAAGAACTATCTTCTTCCACTTTTATCAACATATACTTTCACACTTCAGACTAACATGTCAATCCAAGACATGTTTTTCAACTTTTTAGTAAATGGAAAAGTTAGAATCTATGAATACCAGAATTGTTTTGGGTATTTAAACCAGTTAGACCTGCAGAATCTGAAGGGTGAGGAACTGAGGATGAATAACTTGCTGAAGGTTGGGGAGGAGATGATGGATCTTGAAATGGCTTCACAAAAAAAGACAAAAGTCAATATCACATCTCTTGATAGTTAAAACAAGAAAGAAAATGCCTATTTTAGCTTACAGGAGGGGATTCCACAGGCTTAGGAACAGCACTTCTGGACTGTGAAGGTGAAACTGCAGCCAAATGGTGCTGCAAGTTCAAACTGCAGGCCAACAAAGCAGAGGAAAATGCCGGTGTTTATCTCAACCTGAAAGAAAATGCTGATATTACCAATAGTGAAGAAATAAACCTTAGTGTCCCTAATTTTGAGGGATCGAAGGTGGGGAATATCAGCTTATCACGGAACACGGGATTTTCTTCTATAAGCTTCTTAACACGAGCAAGCATTTCACCCCTAGCATTGATTAGGTCTCCGTGCTTGGATACTTCCTTATCCTCTCTGCATGTCATTGTATCAAATCAATATTCTTGAAAATAAATCTATGCAAACTCTCCAATACAAGTATCACTACTCTCTCACCTGATGTTTTCAAGGAAGAAAAGCCGAGTTAAATATTCAAAACGCTCTTCATTATCAACTGAAATTTGTTTTAAGTCCATCATTAAAATGTCAAAGGCTTTAGCCCGTTCCTTCCTACAATTATGCATTCAAAATCATATGAATTCATGAGAATATGAATACTAACACAAAACTGACAAAATATTCAATGAGACCAAGAAACAATCTAACCTGTCCAGGACCTCCATATACTTGTGTTCTCGGATCGCATAGAAGATTTTCATGGAAATTGTGTTCTCATCAGGCCATGTGAACCCAGATAAGTAATTTTCCACCTCATCCCAATCCCCATTAGTTACCCTGTCCTCGAAATAGGGCATACTGAAGAAGATTCCTGATTCTTGTTCCAATCTTAAATCACGACAAAGAACTCAACCATTGATTCACCAATTACATCAACAATATTCAACCAAAAAAACATAATTATTATAAAGAAATCTTGAATTTTTGAACACCCATGTTTCTTTGGTGAATTAATTATTGATCCTAAAAATAATCTATTAATCTAAATGTAATTATTAATTTCCCCCTATTTTCCAGCAATCAGAACAACTAAAAATTACAAAAAAAAAAGAGAGAGAGAATGAAAGTAAAATAAATATAGAAGAGCAGTCTGAATTTATCTAACCCAACTGTTTTCATCTAAAATTAATAATTAATTTCCCCATTTTCTTAACAATGAAAACGCTAAGAAATCCCAAAAAATAAAGTTAGATATAAAAAATTGAATCCTTACTCGTGAACAGTTCTTGTGAGATTTTTTTTATCAAGAAACTGAAGTATCAAAAACAACATATCTTTTTCGAAAGACGACATGCTCGCTTCCCCTCAATAACCAACCTGCCAAAAGAAATGAAAATCCACAAAGCTGAAAGCTCAATTCCACATTTTTCCAAAGACGACATACACTCATGCATGCAAGCTTCCTATGATCCTATCTGCGTGTATTTCTGCACGCGTATCTTTGTTTGCATATATACATGTGTGAAAGTGTATATATATTTAGAGAGAGAGAAGGGTTTGTACCTTGAATGAATGAGGGGAGAGAGAGAGAGAGGACAACCGGGAGCGTTTTTTCTGTAGAGAGAGAAAGGAACACTGTATGTTTACTGGAGTTCTCCTACTAGAGCTTTAGAGAGAGAGAGAGAGAAGAAATAGTGGGAAATGATAAGACCGTTGATAAGTTAGTAATATAAGCAAATCGAATAATTTTGATAAGTAGAAGTCTGTATTGAACTCTGTTAAGTTTGATAAATTAAGGCATTTTTTTTTTATTTAAAGCTGCTTGCAATAAAATTAAGAAGTTACTTTTAACATCTTCGGATAATTTTTAGAAAATATTGTCCGGCTAAAATAGTTTTTTTTAAAGAAAACTGACAATAGGGCTCATCTGACATAACTTTTGAAAAGTCAAAAGTTGCTTCTGAAGTTAAAAAGCTACTTTTAAACATGTTTGAATAATTTGTTTGAAAATGTTTTGTTTGGGGGAAAAATTTTAGAGTAAGTTGATTTAGTGTAACTTTTCATGAAACTCTTCTATACAAAAAAACAGAAGCAAAAGCCTGTCAAACGAGTTATAAGATCACTTCCTCGTTAAACACTTCTACATGAAAGGAAAATCATAAACTTGTCAAATGGGCCCGCACACCATCACCAAATATATAAGTAAAGCACTCCACTCTATCTTCTTTCATTTATTCATTGTCGAGATAAGAACATCACTTCTTATCATGATACTAGTTTTTGTCCGTGCGATGCACGGGTTGGGTGATTTTGAAGGTTATGTTAGTGTGTTAAAAATATTAATTATCTTGAATTATGTCTTGAATGTTAGATATGAGCAATTAATATTAATTATCGTGAATTATATCTTGAATGTTAGATATGAGCAATTTAAATTATCCCAGTAAATGTAATTGGTCAACTGATTATATACAATTACGAAAAATTGAATGACAGGGCAATAGGATAATACAGAATATAGGAAAATAAATATTACAAGGATAAACAAAGTTAAAGATACAGTATTTATGACATTTTATTTGCTAAAATGCATGGCGAGCATCCTGAAAGCATTAACATTCATTGATTTGCAATTTTAAATA